TCTTCGGGATCTGAATACGTAAACTACTTTAATTCTTTTATTTTCATCACTGTATGCCTATTGAGTCCAAAGATCACCCTCTCTTACCCACTTCACATAATCTCCAGTTTTTGCCAGGTGGAGTTAAGTTGTCTAGCAGTACGGAGTGGATCTGGGAGTTTAACTGCTTGTCAAACAGACTTCCCAACAATCTTTTAGTCCTTTTTACATTTCTGAAGGTATGTGGGTTGCTAAGCCTTTGGGGACAGTTCTGTGGTTTTAATCTGAGAGATCCTCACCACTGATAGTACATTCAGGTTTTTTTTTATATACTTAGTCATTTGTTCATAAACTGCAGCTTTTAAAATTTGTTCTCTCCCATGTTTGTCTTTAGGGTTTTTCGTGTTGTTCTCTCTTGCCCCTTTTTGAAGTATTGAGGTTTAGGAGGACTTCAGAAGAGACTAGAAGTGACATGGTCTGTATTTAGCAGCTGTTTTTTGGGGGAAAAGGGCAGGTAAATTACAAGTAGCTCACTCGGTACTCTAGAATTTGGCCAACAAAACACATAGGTGCTGTGCTAGTTTATTAAAAATCAATCCCAATTTACTAATGGACAGTATTAGATAACTAATGGCAATGCTTCATCAGTTCTGTAGACCCTTGTTAGAGCTATCAGTCCCACTTTTCAAGTAACATGAACTTTCTAGGTCTGCTTTCCTCATTCAAATCTTGATACTTTGTGGTTTACGAGAGTCCTGCTACCAGGTGAGTTTACCTCTCTTTCTGGGGTTCTTGGTTTCATCTTTTATTTCTTTCCTAACATTTAATGTGTTGTAAGATTGCAGGTCTTGTTAACACATAACTCTTTCCACACTGGAGTGGCAATTGCTTCATTGTTGGTCACAAGTATTAGAATATAGTGTGTGGAACACCTGTCCTGTGCCATTCATGCTGAGATAATTTTGAAAGGTAGTGTTAACATTAGGATCCAATTAAGCTTTTGTGTTCTATACTTTAATCTTTGTGTTTTTATTGTTTTACTGCTTGGAAAAGTTTTTTGAAGTATCTTCTACTTTAAAAATACTTTATGTTTAGAGCATTGAGATATTGGGTATTTTGAAAACCATAATAACTTACTGTCCATCACAATACTTGTGTTGGTCCTGAAATGTATAATGAGTTTATTTGGTTTGGGCTTATACTAACCTCAAATATCAATATCTATAGATGCTTGCATAATAAATACACTGACACGTCTCAGCAAAGTTAATTTCTTTGGAAGTGGTTAATGGTGCAGTTTATCAATATACTAACATTTAAGGATGACCCAAACTATTAATAAAATGGTGGGGTTTTTGCTAATTTTAACACAGTTGAGATGAGTGCAGACTAACTTTCTTCACTATTGGGGTCATATTTAGTTAAGAACTCTAGCCTGAAGATTTTCATGGGTAAAAATTATTCTAGCAAGATGTGCAAATTGAGTAGGCTTGGCTTGTTAATTGCAGTCAGTTGCCTATAATCCAGAAAATTGAGTTAGGGTTGATTGTAATTTGGTTGGCATTTCAAAGAGTTCTACAGGCCATTAGAATTGTTTGGAGGTATTTCCTGGGATTCTGTATTTCTCACACCCCAAATGACCTTAGCTGCACTGAAGTTTGAAGGATTGTTGCTTTAAAATGGTTAAACATGCTGTTTCATAAGGATTGTTTTTACTTTTCGTCTTGTAAAGACAAAGGTGCATGTTTCATAAAACTTAGACCACTCTAGCGTTTTAATCATGGACTCTAGCTTTAAAGAAAAAAAATCAGAAAAGACTTTGCTTGTTAATGGGCATACAAGATGACAATGGGGAAAGAGTGGCATTGGGCTGGTTGTAGGCTGGGAAAATAAGTTGGTTTCATTTATTTTTTTTTCTCTACTGGCAAGACACTCCTTATTGCTTGTATATTGTCCCCTTTGGTTTGTCATTGATCTCACGCATCCATTCCATTTTTAGGAATTGGTAGTCAGCAACTGATCAAAATTGATGTTTGCTGTTGTCCGTGAGTTGGGCTAGTTAAATATTGCCCTGTTGTCCTTATTACCTAGATTCTCAAGAAGGATACATAATGTATCAGTCTCTGGTAAAGGGACTGTAATTTAGGAAGACAGAGCAGTGGGGTGATTACTAACTGTTAATATTCGCAAGTCCTGTAAAGGTAGATAGCTTTGGGGGATGGAAGCATTTTCTAAGGGCATGAAAATAGAACCTTACAAAAGCACAACTTAAAAAGGGTGAAATGCTTTACAGCAGTGGTTCTCAGCCTTCCTAATGCTGCGACCCTTTAATACAGTTCCTCATGTGGCGACCCCCAATTTCATTGTTACAAATTGAACATAATTAAAGCATAGTGATTAATCACAAAAACAATATGTAATTATATATGTGTTTTCCCATGGTCTTAGGCGACCCCTGTGAAAGGGTCATTTGACCCCCAAAGGGGTCGCGACCCACAGGTTGAGAACCGCTGCTTTACAG